CAGACTAATTACAGCTATGCCTTCGGCATTGTTTACAAGGCAGCCTCTTGCCTCAGCTTCAGTACCAGAATAAAGTTGCTCTTGAGCTAAAGTCAGAGTTAGAGGGGTGTTTCAGAGTGAGGCTTTCCTCACTCTGTCTAAAAAATGCTTGAGGGTTTTCCGACAGATGCATTTAAATTCATACCAGATTCTATTTGACTTGACAAATCCAATTCCAAAATTACAGAGAAAATTTTTCTAATGGGAAATAAATGACTTGCAAGAATTTCAATTCAGTACAGAAAAAGGGAAAGCTTTATTATGTATTAGGCATGGTAAATCTTCCCCACAAAAAAAAAGTTATTTTGCAAATCTAGATCTTCTATCTGGGATATTAAAACTAGCTAAAAATATGTCTATTTTTGAAAACAAAACAACAAAAAAAAATCATCTTCTCATATGACAGTCTTGGTGGACTTTTTCTGATCTAAAATTTGATATTGTCTTTTCTTTTTTTCTGAAGGAAAACACAAAACTAATCACATTCACATCAGCATTCAGTGCACGGATTTGTGTGGCAGAGAATGTATGAAAATGGGTTTCATCCATCCACTTGTTAGGCCAAAACCCTCTTGTCTGTAGAGTAAGAAGTTTGAATAAAAAGTTTGAGACTCCTTGAAGCTGTCGCTCAGGTAAAACCTTCCTAATGCTTGCTGGAACCATCCTGACAAAACTGAAGGGTGGCTGTTGTTTGAGGGGTATGTAAAGCTTTCACTGCCTCTGCTTTACTTCCACTTTAACCATAATCAGCCCCATTGAGGTCAGGAGGGCTGCTTTGATTTGCTCATTCTATTTCCACTTTTCAAAAACCGTGCAGCAGCACATTTGACCCGTGTGAAGATCCGTGCAAGTCTGGTACTTTAAAAGCAGGAAGATGAGCAAGAAGAGCAATGTTCTCGAAATCTTGCCGTTGCTAATCTTACTCCAAATGGATGAGGCAGGGAAGATAACAAGTACAGTCTCTGTGCTGTACAAAAGACACTCATCTTCCTTCAATCTGAGCTTTGCCTCTCATTTCTCACAGTCCCAGCTGCTCGCTGTCAGCGTGGCGTTGGTGGATGCCACATGCAGCGTGGCACAGTAATAACGAGAAATAAGCTGCCAGGGGAAAATTGTTGAAAATCAGTCTGCAAATGAGGTGGTGGATATAGAAAGTGATTTGGAGGCGGTGAGTTCACAGGAATAGGCCAATTCTTTTTTCCTTCTCGCGGCTGGAAAACATTCAAGTGCCAAAGTCTTGGAGGCGTTGAAGGGACTTTCCCTGTAGCAGCAAAGAAATTTCACTCTCCCTTTACTTCCTTTCCCAGTGACTGTATCCTCCCTCCATCCCTTATTCCCCAGAGCTACCACCCCAAAGCACCTTTGCACAGTTCTTTGCCCCCTCCCAGTAAGGAATGGGAGTTTTATCACCCATACCCACAAGGCTGGAGCTGTACCTCAAGGAACAGACTGGCGCAGCGCTTTTCCTGTCACCTTTTTATCCTTTTCCTGACACTTTTTTATCCTTTTCCCCTCCACAGAGGAAAACTAGTCAGTACCAGTTGTTACCCAAAGGGTTTGTATTTGACTAATCAAATCTCTTGCAACCTGAGAAGTCAGAACCTTGATTTGTTTAATAAGGCTAAGAAATAATTGTTGGCTAATGGCCTAATATAGCATAAAATAAACCCATTAAATTTTGGCTTACAAAATATCCTGGTGTTTGTGTACACTGAGGCAGAACACAGCTGAGAACTGAATCTCTTCATCTACAGAAAGAGTAATGAGGACCAGCCCTAATGGGGATGATACACTGACCTCTGTCCCTGCCCAGGGTTGTTTCTGTGGGCTAAAGAGACACTTGGCAATTGTCTCCTAACAATATTCCAGGCAACAGGCTTCAGACTGCTTAGTGCAGAGGCTGTTGTTGTTATTGGCAAAGGATGCACAGAAGACGTGTCAAATGAAAAACATGGTGCAGAAATTATGTTAATTTTGGAACTGATGTTGTGGCAAGGGTTTAAAACAGCAAGGGAGTTAGACGTGACGGCCACATGTCCTTTCTCTCAAACATTCCTTGTAAGATCCTCCAGAAAATACAGGTGAAACAATCACCCCAGGTTACAGTCTCCAAAACATTACATTCTCATAAAACATACAAATATGCGTACTGCTTCAGACAGTAATTCCATGAGAGTGGTGGTCCAGATTACATTTATTTAAAACTGTTCCAGAAAAAGCAATAACACAAGCTGATCACAGGGTCTGTTCTAGGTCCAGCCTGGTCTCCTCAGCATTTTTTTTTAGGAGAGATTCTCATTCTTCTCAGGTAGACCAAGACCCAACTTGTCTGTCAGCACCCTGAAGGAAGGTCTGGATCTTGCTGGTTGCTGTACTCTCCCAAATGCCGTTGGTTCATTGAATTAGGAATAATCATCAATGTCTTACTGAGTTGATCTTAAATTGGGCCAAGCTGTCTGCTTCTAGGGAGAAGCTGAGTTAATCACTAAGTCAAGGAGCATCTGGGATCCTACGGAAGGCTGGCAGAGCAGACAAGGTCACACAGTATTCAGCAAGCAGAAACAATGACCCCCGGCTCACC